AGAACTCAGATTTCCTTGCCTGTAAGGTTGCACTTACATCTTGTACAATATTCATTTTCTGTTTACTTTGGAGGCATTTCTTGTGGATGGAACTTTGAACTATCTGCTCTGTCCCAGCACACAAGAGGGCCTCACTCAGAGGCCCTACTATTGCCAAGAATTGACCTTGGGGGTACTTCTTGGGCAGAGCATGCAAGAAGAAACTCTGCAGCCCCTCCTCCTATGAGTTTCTCCCATAAAAAATACAGGGTGCCAGTTAAATTAGAATTCTAGATCATGTCAATTTATTTGCTAATTATGGTCACTCTATTAAACCCCTGTCTCTTCATATGCAAAATGTGGAAAATACTGGTATCTAGCTTTTAGACTTGTTAAAACCTGATGCATCTGTGCACCCTAACTAGGGTAACTTGCCCAAGGTTTTACACAACACCAGAGCTAGTTTTCTGATTCCGGAGCCCTGCCCTCTATACTGTCTCAGTTAAGATAACTTCTGTAGCTAAGAATTCCTAATGAGTAGAGTGACCAATAAGAATATTAACCATTATTTTTAAATATGAATATCAATAGAGGTGTCATATGCTGATTATTAATAAACACCAGGAAGCTTACTACATCAGATCATATTGAAGGCTAAAACTGAAATTCAGGGAGATAGAAATTTCACAATTTTCCTAGTAGATCTACTTTGTAAGTCATTAATCAAATATATGATACAAGGTTTGAACTTTGTTCTCTATTACTCTTTCAAACTGGACTCCGGAGAAATCAACAGTTGCATAAAAATTGAACTTGAGCATTTAAGTCTTCACGATGCAGTGCCTTTCTCTTGCCTTTTCAGAGACATCTAAATGTCACTAGATGGTATTTCAGATTCTCCAGAGTTGGCTGAGAATCATGTTTCAAGTCCCCTTAACTCTGTCTTGACCACCACCCCTGAGCCCCCATCATTCCTAACTTTATGAAGCACTTTCTGCTCCACTGTCATCCTTTGTCATACAGTCCCTTAGCCTGAAAAGCATTTCCCTGTCTCAGTCATGGGAAATCTTCATCTCCAGCTCAAACACCCAGTTCTCTTGTGACACATCCTTTGTCTCCTTGGCTCACTGTCCCTCTAACTGATTTTACCATGATACCAGGTAGCATAGTTTGCCTTGTGACTGCCCTGCACTTGTATCCCTGATTAAAAGTTGGTTTCCTGTGGTAAGGGGCTTCATTGTCTCATTGTTTTTTGCATCTGTATTAGAACCAAAAATAGTGACTTCCCCAAAGTGATTCCTTAGAAAATTATCTGTTGAGCCAAGTTTAGTCCAACAACACAGAGGAACAGCACTCGAGAACTTGCTGTGCCATTAATTGACATTCTGTGAATCCTCCAAATAAGGCCAAGGTGCTTTGCACATGCTCACAATGACTAGCAGTTAATTCTTTCAGCTTTTAAACAACGTTTCCCCCTGTTGTTAAACATGAATAGATATTCATTCTATAAAATATGTGAAGAAACATAAAGGGGAAAAAGTAATCCCCTTTTAAGGGCAGCAGCTACTGTTTATTCTTCTTTTTATTAAATATAGAAATACTGTTTGTTTTTCATAGAGATTCTCCAGGGAGGGAGACAATAAAGAAATGTAGAGGAGTGCCCACAGGCAAACACAATTGGGTTTGAACCCTAAGTCCAACATTTCATGATTATATGACCCTGGGTTACTCACTTCATCCCTCTAAAGCCATTTCTCATCTGAAAAGTAGAACTACTAATGCTATTTTTATTCCTATAAGAGTTTTGGGCAAAGCCTATCATAAAACATTTGATGGTACTTTATAAATTAGAAAATAGTATCTGCCTGTTTTTATAAATGTGTGGATTGCACATAAGATGAGTCTAGTGACTGATGGAACAATCAAACTGATTCCAAGTAGCAGTTCACAATGATTTGTGCTGGGATTTCTTGCCTGAATTACAAACCACCGTCATTTCAATAATGGGAAAAGAATTAGTTTTTACTGAGCACCTACTATAGGCCAGTTTCTGTGTCATTTGCCTTACACTTATCTTCTCATAGCCCCACACATTACCTTTCTATAGTTCATATAAAAACAACTGAAATTCAGTGAGCTGGTGTTGCAAGATTAATATTAAAGTGGGTCTGATCTCAAATGTTATTTCTGTTTTCACTAGAGTAAGAAAACTTATTGAGAAAATGTTTTTATGTTGTTTTTTTACTATCATGGAAATTTCTAGAGTGATTAAATGGGCAGTATTTGATTTGGTACATGGATTATTTTTGTATAGATTCTCTTAGGGAAATTTAAGAAATTATGATATTTCATCTTAGAGGAAAGATTTGACTAATTTAAAAGCCCTTTATAAAATCATGAAAGGGAACAAGTGGTGGATATTGGCCAGGTACCATTTGCTTGTAATTTAGTTAAGCCTTCCTTAAGATACAATTTGGAAGTTTTTGTAGCATGGCTTCTTTAGAACAGCTGGGGGGAGCTGTGGAATTTCCTTTTTGAAAGAGTATGTGATTTCAAACCAGGTAGACTTATCTTTTTGGTTCTATTTGGAAGTGGATTACTAGACTCAATCAAAGATGAGTCTCAAGAGAACATGAAGAAAAAAAAAAGTTATGAATTCCACTGAAAATGTGATTAAATTAAGCCATATTATAGCACAGAGGATCTAAATGATGATACGGCATAGAAACACATGAGGGTGCTCTAACCAGCCACCGTCATAAATAAATGAAACCATTCAAGTATTGGGGGGAATTAAGTCCGGGTATGAATGGCAATGTTGAATTCCGACTTTTAGCATTGGCCAAATAGAACAATCTTGGAATAGACGGCTCTTCTTTTAAATATGTTGGTCTCTCCACCATCACCACTCCCAGTTTGAAAAGTAGAAGATGTACATATTGGGCAATTTGGAAAATACTAAAAACTACAAAGAAGAAGAAGAAAGTGAAGGGGAAAAAAAAAAAAACAAGGACTGATGTTGCCGCCTGGGCCTGTTGGAGGCCTAGCTCAGGAGGCCTGCCTTCAAACACAAGCCCAGCCTGTTCTCATTTTGATTCCACAGACCTTCTGCTGGTACGAAGGGGGAGTAGGAACTGGGGGTCTGATGACCGCAAGAAGAGAATTAGAGACGCATGTTTATCTCGATACATTTACTCTCATTAAAGTTCATATTCACTGACATCATGCATCTCCTTGAAAAAGTCTGCCCACCCACCATTAATTAAAGCCACATTTTAAAAAGTCAGCATGTGCATTTTTATTCCAATCAAAAGTAGCCTCCTAAGTTTTGCAGAGTAGGCAGGAGAATATCTGAGGTCTGACAGCTGTTCACCTCTACACAGTGAACAATCATGTGATTTACATTAAAAGTTCTGTTTATTCAGGGCCTAGAATATAATAGCTAAGACCTATTGTCTTGAAGAGTTGAAACACTCATTATCTAATGACCTATTACAACAAATTAACATTTATTTTGATAAGTCAGGATTCTTTTGGATACAATGCAAGACCATATGCCTTTATCTTTCCAAACAGAGAAATCTAACTATATGCTCTGTTTGAATAATTAAGCAGCACACTCCTATCAAAGACACCACACTTTATAACTTGTATATACACTATCAGTGTCAAAACAAAGGTCAATACAAATTATTTTTTATCTAAACCATTGCACAAACAGCAATTACCAATAGTTGTAGGATTGCTCAACCGTAGTCTATATTCTTGGCAGTAATCACTATAAGTTCATAAATTCATGAAAATAAGGAATGTTGATTTTCAAAGTTCAAGAAAGTTACTATTTGTAAACAGTTCAGGCCACACTCATTTTACTCCATCTGCTAAGCAAGAATTCTTTCGTTCCAACTTCCTTTAAATGAGATTTGTTCTCTCCAGGAGCCTAGTAAAAAGGTTTTCATCCAAACAGATCTGCATTCTTTTCTATTCTTTTTCCTATTAAAGCTCCCCCTGGGGGCCTTTCAATTTTATGCTGATTTTTCTTTATATATTAATATCATGCACATTTTTATGTTGTGTTGATAAAAGACAAATTATGGTTATCTCTTCCCATTGGCAATCAGATTATTTTATATTGGTTTTGACCAAATATTTGTTTGTTCAGCCAGTTTATGCCTTCTACACAAAGGCCTGAAATGCAGTATCCAGATTCTTTTGTGATTCTAGCCAAGCCACCACATAGAGAAACATAGATTGTAAATGGATTTGAATATTGGCATTGAAATGGTTTAATTCTAGGTCAAAGCATCCCTGGACTAGAAGTCAAAACCTGAGTTCTAGTCCTGATTTTACTATCAGCTCACCTTGAGGGCCTCAGTTTCCTCATCTAACAAATAGGTGTTAGAGAGTGACTACTGACCGGACACAGTCCAGGAGGTTTGTCAGGATAAAAGGATAGGGAACATGTCTTCCCCTGGTCCTCTTACCAGAAACCACGAAGTGGGTTTCTGGTCCCTAGTAGGACTTTGATGAATTGGAGTTGAGTTTGGCTTTAAAAGAGAGTATCCCTGAGTCCAGAAGAAGCCACCAAACCATGCCTGAGGAATTACTTTCATGATAAGTGCAGGAGAAGATGCTCTGGATCTTGACATCCCATAGAAACAAACACTGGATGTGTCATTGCTATATGGAATGAAAGCACTGTCATCCTAACCCACAGAATATATCTACTGCCTGATGATAGTATCCAGAGGGATCATAAAACCCTCAACTCAACATAACGCCAAAAGCAATGGGTGGACTCCTTCAGATCAGCTATGGGAAAGAAGGTGGGGTGTGGGTGGGAATCTCTCAGCCTGTTGGTGGTTTTCCTTAGGACAAACAGCTCTGGCCTGGGGTGGGGGGTGGGTAGTGGGAAGTTGTGACTACACAGCATTTTATCTCTCTAGGAAAGCTTAAGATAAGCTTTAAGTGACTCATGCTACCATGCGGTCCTCAGAATGAGCATGGCTGCATTCCCATACCTTCCTGCCGGCTCTGTTGTTGTGAAGATTCATCAGGGCTCTGGCATCCTTTCCCTTCTTTTCCTTGGCATCCACAAATGCTCGGGCAAATTTGATCCCGTAGTCAATGTTATCACTGCAGCCACCCCAGTCGAAGGTGCCCTTGCTGTCCTTGGCGGTTCCCTTCTTCTTGGGATCACAGGAACAGGATTTTAATTCTCCTTGGCTACAGGCCCTGGTGATGGCAAATACAACTCCAGCTGAGGAGATGGCGTAAACAAAGGCAGATTCCCGACTACCTGAAACAAAAATGCTTTTCTTAAAAGTGGTCTGGGAGCACTAGTCCTGAATATCTTTCATATGGTGGGTGACTTTTTTAATCCTCGATGGGCCTCCGACATCCTCTGCCATTAAACAGAAGGTACCGGTATTCTGGAAGGACACTTTTAAACAGCCAAGGCTCTTTTTAAATATGAATAATCTCCATCTTCAATTTAGACTTCTGTCAGGACACTCTTCTTGAATACAAATTATATATATATATATATAAAAAAGAAGGCCTCACCCAGCTTCTGGTTTTAATGAATTTTGTCTGCATACATGCCCAACATTCACCTTGAACCCTAAATGTCCTAGAAGAGTGGAGTGTGGCATCTCTTGCCTTAGTTTCTTCATTCATAAAATATAGTGTGAATTATACAATTCTATCATTCAATCAGTAATTTGGTATTCAGGATATCACAGCTTCCCTGGGGGCAAAAACCTTCTGAGATGGGTGTGGTGGCCCATGACTATCTCAGCTACACCAGAGGCTGAGTTGGGATGCCAGGAGTTCAAGGTCAGCCTGGGCAAAACAAATCTGAACAAAACCCTTCCAAACCTCCAGGCCCTACTGAGGACACCCATGTGCTTTTAAATTACAGACACTGAAATACTGAATTCAAAGAAATGGGGGCTGAAGTAGGAAGAGAATTCAGGCAGTAACCAGCCCCTGGTGTTAACACTGGAGAGCTTTGGCTTGACATCAACTTTCACAAGTAATTGAGAGATTGTTGAAGGCAATATGCAATATCCTCGAGTTACATACTATGTCTAACTATTAAGGTGAATTTACTTTCTTCTGGAACACCTGCACTAATCACTGGTATTGGGTAAAAGAGAGTGAAAAGCTTTTCTTTGGTTTTTCTGGAAGGAAACAAATTTACCGCTTATAATTAGACTTGGGCAAGAACCCTTTGGGGTACTTTCTTAGAATTGTTCTTTATTAGAGAGCAGGCTACTTTCACTTACAGGCTGAAAGGGACATATTTCAGTGCAATAACTACATTAAATTATTTTAATAATCTGTAGTAACTCATAACACCGTGTTGTGGTATAGTGACAGATATAAGGCTCTTTAGGGTCTGTGTGCACCTCGTTTTTCAAGTGGAGCTGTATTTCATTGTTATTAGCATGCCTTTTTATTAATGGTTCTGCAGCAAATATATTAACAATCAAAATAGAAGCTGGATGAACTAATGCCAATGCTAGGCAAAAAGCAGAGAAGCATTTGGTGATTCAATATGTCAAGACGAGTGTGACTTTTTGAACCACACAGCTGGGAGAACAAACCACCTTTTCGCATCGAAGCCCTACTTGTTTCCGTTTGTCATTCAGTGCTAAAATTTATTATACATCCCTTGCAATATTCGCTCTGCTAGTCTCATTATTAAAAATAAGGAAAACATACCTACAGCCTATTAAATGGCACTTACCTCAGCCTTCAGAAAATATCTCCCCCAAACCTCTAACCATCAAAAAAGGAATCCGTCGTGCCCTATAGCTAGGTAAAATCAATTAGAGGAATATTTGCCATAGGTAGCAGGTTGTGTTCTCCAGAGAGGAATGTATGGTCCTGGGAGCTGTTTTAAAGGGTCTCAGCTCACATTATAGGGATTGCAGATATTCTAAGTGGAACTGAGTTGTTGTGTTTAAAAGGTGACTAATAGACGCAAATGTGGCTTAATTCAGGTAGTAGCTTTTGAATACTTAAAATTTGTATTATATCCATTTTAAAGTTTAGGAAAATACCTTGTTTATAGTTACCCCCAGTTATCTTCTGAAGTTTGGTTTTGTATTTAGAGTATGGTGTCCATGTTTAGAGACACTAATGGGGGGAAATTCCTATATATATTTAACACTGTTCTTATTTTTTTAAGGAGAAAAGAAGTCTTAGGAAGTAGTCTTTTAGGGGAAAGGAATGAAAGCTGTAGATGAGCCTATATTAGTGACCAGACAGTATTTTAAAAGCAGTTAGAGATATACTTTCTAGGAACAAAGTTCATTCTCACGTAACCTGCAAAAAATCACGTTAACTTGTTGGTTAAAAGGAAAAAAAAAATCACAATCTGATACATTTTAGAAATAATTACAAAAGGAAAATTATCACTTTTCTGAATATCTTATAATTTATTACTCAAATATATTACTAAATGTTTAGGGTTTTTTATTTATTTAAATAAAAATTTAGCACATTGACTCGACTTTTCGTTTTACCTCCAGATGTAGATATGGCCTTAAGATGTTTTCAGTTAAGTGTTTTGGATGAATCACTAAAATGCTATGTGTGAAATAGTAGCACATTTCAAGAGTTGGCTTTGTAACAAAACAAATTTTGATCTTGGGCCTCTTCTTAAGGGGAAAAAAAGGATTCTTTGTAAGGCCATCACAAAGCACAACAAAATCCAAATATAAATGGTGATATTTGTACTTCCTCATGTGTCACTATTGAATTTTCTCTTATTTGGGGGTTAAGATAAATCACACAATGTCTATTAAGTGCATAGGCACAGTTTTTGTTTGGGTTGGGAGATTATTCCCTGGTAAGACAAACACTAGAAACTGGAGTTTCTGGAAGATCATGGGTTGGTTGTTCTACTCTGTTTTACAATTTTTGTTCTGATGTTTTGGTGTTTTTTTTTTTTTTTTTTAATTTATAAGGATGAGACCTAATCACCTTTTGTTTCTTGAGGCCTGTTCTAGATTTCTGGAGGTATATTCTTCTAAGAAAATGTTTGGGTTTTCTCTGCCCATGACTAGTAACTGTCTGTTGAAAGAATAAATCACAAATATTCCTAAAAATTGTTTCATCTTACTCTAGCTCTCTACAGCAAAAGAGGTGAAAGTTCTCCATTTTCCATGGTCATGGGATATTTTAGTAACTCTCATGTTCTCCCTATAATGATGCTGCCCTTTGCCTTTCCTATTCATCTGGGAGCACATTTAGGTTTCCAGAGAAGAGTTCTTCATAGCTCTTAGATGTAAATTTCCCTCCAAGCAATTAATAGTAAAAAAAAATCTTTGGATAGCCTCATTGGAATTTCATGATTATTTCCAAGATCAGCTGCTTTAGGCCAAATTCAGTCCTCCCACAACCAACACAAAACCTCATTGACAGTCACAGAAGTTTGCATACATTCTGGAAAGGAGTCTGGCCTTCAGTGAAGAATGGAAAGAAACTCTGTGGCTGAAGGTTCTAAGTTCTGAGTATTTTGGAAAAGTATCTAGCCTCCTCTGAAGGAGGAGACACAAGTTGAAGTCTCTTGTGTTCCAGAGGCCTTAGAGTAGGTCAGAGTAGATCATTGCCTCCAATTCTCACCTTGTCTCTCTCAGCAGCTCTACAAAGTAGTTTATGAATGAATCCCCAGCTTTGGCAGAAATACCATCTTTGGGATCACAAATCAAAATTGCTTTCTCTGATTTGTGATAGAAAGGTTTTTTTTTTGTTTTTGTTTTTTTTTTCTTATATAGAGACATCTTAATGGATCTAAAAGTGAGAAGTGATCATTTTATAAAGAAGAAGTGCATTCAATTAGAAATCATTGAACAATGGTTGTGGAGCACTTTGAAAATGAAAAATCTCATGCATCTTAAACATTTAGAGCCTGAAAATAATATATTACAAGAGGACTTGTTCTAGATATTTGCAAATTCTTTTTGACAAGGCCTAGCACTTCAATTGATTCACTGGTGAGCTAATCTAGGTGAAGTATTAAAATTCCATGAAGCTGAAATTTACTATTATCCTTTCAAAAATTTGCGATGTCATATCGAAACTCCAAAAGGAATGCAGAAGAATATAGTTCTTAAACTAGAGAATAAAATTGCAGAATATCGCAGTAAATTAACTTTAGGGATACTCTAAGAGTGAGAGTACTACGCCCTTGGGGGATTTTAGAGACATTCAGTTATGCATTTGGCCTCATAAAACCCTGGGGCTGTGATGATTACATGATAGAAACACCCTGTGTTAAGCATTACCAAGTGCACAGCCCAGATGAATTTCTTAGGAATGGGGGTGGGGGTGGGCAAAAACAAGTGTAAAGTTCCCTTTTGCTGGGGTTTGCATGTAACCTTTCATGTTTTCAGTCTGATTTCCCAATAGTAAATGATCTGTGCTATTTCCTGGAGAATACTCATAATGCCAGGTTAATAGATGGGTAAATTTAGATGTAAAATCTGATTTGCATCTAGTGTTTGTTCTCTGGTTGTGTACTAGCTAGTGAGCTACTTTCAATATTGGAAGTCTGAAGAAGTTTATTTTGTAATTAGATAATGTCTAAGTTTCCTACCAAGGAAAAATAAATTTATGTATTCATGATCTTCCATAAAAAAAATTGTATGTAGCTGGAAAATAACAGGTGCTTACTACAAGTTCATCCAGTCATTCACTGTAATGAATGAGTGGGGCCTACAATGTGTATTGCTCCAAGCAAGGCACCAGGAATACAAGCTAGTCTCTTCCCTTATGGAATAGACAACCTATTGAAAATAATGTCTAATTTGGATACAGAGCAATGCAAGTCTGAGTAGCCAAATTGAAAGATCAAAAGTGGTGAGGTGTGATTTGTCTTTGTTTCTAAAAGACATTTTCAATATGTATTTTTTGTAATGATGACAATCTTTGGCTAATACAAGATTTGAGCATTCAACCCTGACCTGCTCAAAATTCAAATCCTGAAAGTTCAAATTCTGAAAGTTAAGGACAGAAGTGAAAAGAGTCCTGTGGCTGCCACTTTCCTTCTGGAGACAAAATCTGAACCTGGAGGGACAGGCAGGGTTGAAATAATAAAGAGTAAAAAGACTATTGCCTGAGGTACTCTATTCCTACATTAGGACTGGCATCCATAAGGCTTTAGACAAGTTCCTTGATTTCTCCAGGCCTCATCTGTAAAATTAGACAGCACCAAACTGACTAAACAGGATGCAGAAAAAGATGAGCAGGACCTTTGAAAGACCAAGTGAGGGCAGGGGTGTGTAAGGAGAAGTCCATGAAGCAGGGCTAAGGCAGGAGTGGGGAATGAACTTACTTCGAAGCAGGACCCTGCCGAAGAGGCTGTGATCCCTATCCAGGGTGTTGCAGTTCCAGCGGTGCTGGCGGAACTGGTGCTGGCACTCTGCTGTCCACTCAGCCACACCCAGGCCAATGGCACGCATCACATCTGGGTGTCGGTGGCACAGCTGCCGCTGGCGGCTCACCAGGCCTGGCACATTGTCACACATCACCCTGGAGGAACCACCTGTAGCTCTCATGTACCTGTGGGGGATCAACACAGAAGTGAGCACAACATAAACAGCTAGGCGAGGCTCAGTGTTCCCTAGTAAATCAGGGTTTAAATATGGATTCCTTATTCTTTTGGTAATATTGAAAAGCAAGGACTACTTAATTATCATCAGTAGGAAAGCAGGCAAGAGAAGTGTGGTGAGTGATGTGGAAGACACCCCCAAATGAAGTGGTGACTGTCTCTTGGACAGGAAGCAGGGACCATCAGATGATGCTCAGGGCAGGGTCACAGAGGCAAGGTCTGCAGTTGGGAAGCTGAAAGCAGAGTCGGGGAGAGGCAGTGTGTCTTGGGAAGAACACATCAGAACTTCTTCCAAGAAGGCTTTACTCTCAGTGACCAGTGTGTCTGGACTTGGCTCTGGGAGAAGCTGATCTTTAAAACCTCCTTGCTCTATTCATTTGACCTAATGTCTAATAAACCGTCTATATCTGTCTAATCAACACCTGCTGGGTTCTTATGTCATACTGTGCTCACACACATGCCACTCTTTCCTTACTAAAAAAACTCTTTAAATATTACCATTTTCTAGCTCTCTTTGGCTTGCATAGAAAACCTAGGGGAAAAAAAAGTTCTTTGTATTGTTATTAAGGACACTAAATGTTTGGAAGAAGCAAACAGTGTTATAGCTCCATAAAGTACTTTTTGAAAAGAAACTTTAACAAAAAATTACATCATCATCTCTACCCAGATGTTCTCTATTAGTTGTGAAATGTTTAGAAAGGTACCTTTTATATAAACCCAAGCTGCCATAGGTGTCTTTTGAAGCGATCAAACAAGGAGAATGTCTTTTTCTTGTATTTTCATTATTTTATATGATCATAAAATCGTTACAGCTGTGACTTCCAAAAAATATATATAAGTGACAGCTGAGAGACAATGTGACAAAATGCCTGAGCAATAAATAATGTTTATACACTCATGGAAACAGAAATGGTCATTTTATTGAAAAATGGTCAGTCTGATAAATCAATCTTTGATCCTATGTCAGCAATGTCAAGGCTAAATGTCTTAGTGTTCAGAATGAGCTTAAAAAGGAATTGAACCGCCTTCTCATCAGTACTTCTCCCTGCTCCTTTGAAGAGCTCCAGTGTCTTCCTAAAATGTTCTCTTCTTTAGCATTTCATTTGGCTGACATTCCTTACTGTTGCCAAAGTCTAGAAAATAGCCCATGATAACCAATCTTTCTGAATCATTATTTTAATGTCTGTTATGAAACTTTCAGGTGCACGGAAGTTACAGTTCTCAATTCCATCTCTTTCCAAGATCAGCAAGTGGAAAGATAGGGAAGAGTCTGGATGGGGCGGGAATCTAGTACTTTTAATGATGCTAAGACCTGTTACCATTCAACATTCCATCATTATGCAAAATAAATAAATCACAGATCAGCATATCAACTGAACAACAAAAGACTCTCAAGGTGACAGTTTTGAACAGCATAATGTCTTAGATACCTTAGGGTTAGTAGTTTGCATCAAGGTGATAGTCTCTACCTGGAGGCAGCAACATGTTCTTCTGCCTTGCTGGGTGAAACATCAGGAATGTGGAAGGATGGGAAATAACACAAAATCACAGGCTTTGGACTCTACAATCCTTGACTGACTGAATTGGTTTATCTTAAGGCAGTTTTTTTAGGACGCGGTATGAGGGGGGGAGGTTGTAGTTTTCAAGATGAAGTACACACACACACACACACACACACACACACACACACGCCTTTGCTAGAGCAAGAGACTCGCTAAGATAAGAAATTGGCCGATTTTGCTGTCGCTAGCTCAGCTGTATCCAAATAATCAAACATTAGGGATCTTATTCGAGGGGGCATGTGATTCTTTGGAGTTGTCAAAACCGAAATGGGTTTCCAGAAAAGCGAAGGAGGGAGCAATAAGAGGGCAGCAGTGGGGGCTCAGGCCGAATCCACAACTGCCACGGTTGCAGGGAAGCATCGACTGGAGAGGTCTGTGTGACCAGTGTGGTCCCCACTCCCATTTCCCAAAAATCCACTCCCCGTTGATATGCATGGACTTACCACCATGAAGAGCTGACCTCAGGGGTGAGCCAGGTCAAGAGCAGAGGGAGCCAGAGCCAAATTCCACCGAGACGGGCGTTCATATTAATCCCCTTGAGTCCGCATCAGGTCAGACTCCGTGTGCGGGCGCCATGCGTGCCCCAGCAGAAGCGCTCAGCGCCGGGAGCGCCTCGTCACGGCTGCCGGCGCCTCGCCGCGCCCCCGCCCCCTGCTCGCTCGCGTCTGCTGCGAGTGGCGAGACTCCCTGATAAAGTTTCAAAAGACGAGCCCAGGGAGCGATAAAGGGCAGCCCGGGCCGCCTCGCCCACAGCCCAATTCCCCAGGCACAGCAAGCACAGGCAGTGCAAGAGCTCTGCGCGCCCCTGTCCGTTCTCCCCGCGGAGCGCAGCCCAGAGAGGGGGCGCTGCGCCAGGCGGGGCTGGGGGCACCAAGCTTTGTACAGGGGTGGATGAAATGATGGCAAAAGATGTCTGGGGGTGAGGGGAGGCAGGGGAGGAGGAACACCTCTGCGTGGCTGAGAACACCGGGGAGACAGGCACCTTTAGGGAAGCTCCCTACCAGAGAGCATCAGTGGGCTCCAAACGTGCTTTCCAGATCGGCGAGGCTTCCCTAAGGCAAACAAGTCCCCAATGAAGGGGAGGTAAAGGACATTACTCTGTAGAGGATTTAAGAACCCAGAGATGATTTCCAACCAATTGCTTCTCTTTTCTCCTTGACATTGGGAGGAAGTGAGCACTTGTAAATTTGGAGCTGCCTTTTCTATGCGGGGCAAGATTGGGGATAGAGGGGCTGGGCCTCTGGGAAATGAAGACCTATAGTCTGGATTCCTCGGTGTTGGGAGCTCGCAGGGAGAGGAACCGGGAGGGTTCCTGACCTTCGGGACCTCACCCAGCAGTTTTGGCCAAAGCGCTGGGGAAGGTGCGGTTTTTTACGCACATCCAGCTCCTCCCCAGCGCTGTAAGCGCAAAAGATCACGTAGGGAGGACCTAAGACAGCCAAGCCTTCACGGGGTCTAAGCCTCAGGTTGAGTTCCACCTCCCACTGCCCAGGTGCTCAGCCCAGGTGCCTTGAGGAGGTGAAAGCACCCTTGACCCTGGCCCCTGAGCCCCGTAGAGCCAAGAGGGGGGCTTGGCCCATGGGTGGAGCATCTTGAACAGCATCTGGCTTGTAGCCCCGCCGTTTATCACCGGAAAGGAAGGAAGACCAGGAACTCGCAGCGGCCATGAACTGTTCCATTGCTCTTTTCCTGGGGCGGGGGACCCACCACCCGCCTGGGGAGCGTGCCCTAGGGAATATGGAGTGTGTATGCGCGGCTGTGAGGGCGGTGGTGCCTCATTGTTCCCCGGTTGGGGCGGGGGCGTCCGGATAGGAAGCACAGGGGTGGGCGGGCTCCCCCACCCCGCCCACCTCTTGGGCCAGGACCCTCAGAATGTCAGCTGTAGCCCAGAGCTAGCGGGATGAGGCCTGGAGGAGGCAAAACCCAGAGATGCCAAAAACCTGAAAGATGCTGTCATCGCCACCCCCTTCCCCCACTCCGGTCCCTGGCAGGTCCGGCCTCTCCCAGGCTGACCCAGATACATCCCAGTTTGGGTCCGGAAAGGGAGGGGAGGGAAACAAGCACCGCGCCACCCACGACTGGGGAAGAGCAGGGCTCTGCGCCAACGCCGCTCCATATCGCTGGGCTGCAACCCAAGGGAAGTTCTGCTCGGTTTGTGCTGGTCGCGAGGGCCAGGAGATGGGCATGTTTCTGCTCAGTACGTGTGTATGCTGGTGGGGGAGGGGCACGATAGCACTAACCTGGATTACCTTATGTACCTCTATGATGATGCTCAGGAGCCTCCTTCCTCTGTGAAGCAGAGAAATAAGCTAAAATTTACCTCCACTTGCTTTCGTTCCACAGTTTCTTGACGTGAATCCAGGCACTGGGACGAAGAGAAGAGATGGTTGGTCCCTCAGGAACCATAATTTGCCAAAGTTTCACTTCTAGCAGTGAATAAAGCAGGGGTGTGAATGTGTATGTTGGGAAAGGTAGGCAGCTACATGCTTCTCTTATGGAGAATGAATTTTTAAACTTTATTAGAAACTCCAATTCGAAGTTCCACCCATCTCAGCACATCATGTCCTCACAGCTCAGGGGTGTTAGAAATACATGGAGCGTTACCATCAGCGGAGAAGCCCTTCCTTTCCGCTCAGGGAATTATTGAGGGAGAACTGCCCTTCAGTTGATGGAAGCCAATGGAATGACCTAAACCTGAAACAGATCTCCTGGAAAAAAGAATGGACCATTCTCAAAGCTAGTTAAATCTGCTCCAAAGAACTTCATCCTGGGGCAGGTGGTTCTGGGAACTACCACAGGTCTTACAGAGAAGAAATCAGTTTGGGTAAAAGGCAAAAGACTGAAAAAGTTCAGGAAAATCTAAATCCAGATGTAAAAAAGTTCCACCCAAACACCCCTTCCTGACCTGTCTAGAGGCAGTCTGGACCAGATGACTTGTCTCTTCCAGATCTGTGATTCCATTTCCCTCCCTACTCCACCCCTATTCATTTATGAGCCATTACTTAGCCCCATACAACTTCTCTTCCTACCCAGTAGTCTTTATTCCCTTCTCATCTGTACCTGTTCTCTTTTGTATCTTTTGAAGATGGGGTATTCACTAGGACAGGTAGTTGAGAAATGCTCCAAAAAAATAGGAAGAAAGAATGATACAGCAAACTTCACTTCTTTTGCAATGGAAACTTCCAGTCTAAAGAAGAGTTAATAAATAATGAAGCAAATTGCATATGACTTCAGCCTAGCTATAGCAGATGATGAGGTAAGGAAAGACTGAATTTAGAGTTTCTTTATGAATTTAATATATGATTTATTCTTCAATGAGAAATATCAGAATTGACTATAAGATTCACTTACAGTATATAGAACCCATTTTTTTTTAGATTCATATTAGTTTGCTTGTAACTTCAGTATAGTGTTGCAGCCAAATGAGTCAGTCTATTTTCTTAGTTAGATCCATTGTTTGTCCAATCTCCCAGGGCAGAGAAAGAGAACTAATTTACTACCAAACCATCTCCACCCTTTAAAAATGGAGTTACTTCTTCAACCAAATAGTCAATTGTCTTTCATTCTGAACTGGTTTCTTCCTAACGCAGTAGGAAGAAAGTACTGACTTTCAGTATAGCTACTCACAAACCAAAGGAAAAGTTCTAATTTCAGCCATTTAAATCTTAAGTGTGCATTTAAATTAATGTGCACTGAAAACGATGGTTTCCAGCTCTGAGAGAGTAACAGTTATCTAATATGTTCAACAGGAAAAGAACTGTAAAACTGGGCAAAACTCTACAAGGCATATCTTTTCAGGCATTGTAGAGTAGGCACCACATGGCTGTGATCCTCAAGAGAAAGAGAACACATGAGGTGAACTCCATAACATCCTATCATATGTCTTGGTTTTTCTAAAGAGCACATTTGTTTTGGGGGATGTAGAACGCAAGCTGAGCAGTAGTCTCAGTTGAGGAAGGAGAGAAGAATTTGAGGCTGCTGAAACAGCTGAAATTGGCAGAGTAGTATTTCTACAAGTAGAAAGCTATGAAAAGTGGGGCTCCAGACACCTACGTGGAGGTTCAGCATGAGTCCTTGGGCAAGAAGTGGGCTGCATATCATGGAAAGACCTTGTAATGCCTAACAGATTGCTTGCCGCATGTCATACAGTGTTAAGAGACACTGTATGACAGCCTAGCAGGGTAGAGAGACCTCATTGAGTACTTTACTGATTTGGGGGAGATGATAGAAAAACCATGCTTTAGTGTAAAGAGTGTGTCTTAGAACAAAATTTTGGGCTGGGGATGTGGCTCAAGCGGTAGCGCGCTCACCTGGCATGCGTGTGGCCCTGGTTCGATCCTCAGCACCACATACAAACAAAGATGTTGTGTCCTCCGAGAACTGAAAAATAAATATTAAAAAATTCTCTCTCTCTCTCTCTCTCTTTTAAAAAAATAAAAAGTGTTTTCAATTTAAAAAAAAAAACAAAATTTTAAAATATTTTTTCTTTATATCACATGTTCTAATAAAGAATAAGAACAATTGGACATGTCAAGGGAATAAAACACTTATTATATAAGAATAAAATACTTATTAAAAGAAGACAACATAGTGGGACAGGATTATAGCTCAGTGGTAGAGCATTTGCGTAGTATGAGTGAGGGACTGGCTTGAGTCTCAGTACACCAAAACAAACAAACCAAAAAACATATTGCAGACTTTCTACCATGTTTAATTTACAATAAAAATTATTAGATATATGAAAAAAAGAAAGTAATCAATACTTAAGAGAAAGCAGTCAATGGAAACTGGCTGAGATGGTCTGGATATAAGAAATGGTAGGAAAGAAGTTTAAATTAGTTATTATAACATGATGAGGTATTTAAAAGACAATATGGTCAGAGTGAACAGTAGGGAAAAAATTCAGTAGAAAAATATAAGTCACAAGAAACAAGAAAATCCTAGAACAAAAAGTACAATAATTTACAAAATCTGTACTTCTAACAGTATGGTATTTAATTTGAAGAACAGAGAGAAAACTTATTAATAATTAAATAAATAGAATCTTAGAGATCTCCTGTGGTGTAATACCAATCAGCCTAATACACACTACACCACACACACACACACACAAACAAACACACACACATACATGCACACACACAGAATTCCAGGAAAAAAGGGAAAGAAAGTAGAGCAAATAATATCCATTTCTAGAAATAATCCCCAAATTCATTCAGTATGACAGAAAATGAATTTGTAGATTTAAGAAGGTCAGAAAACCCCATGAAGATTCAATTGAAAGTATATCACACCTACACACTTCATGATCAAACAGTTTAAAAAACAGAGATGAGAAAAATATCTAAAGCTGGAAAGATACATCAAATGCAAGGCAACAAGAATATGAATTATAGCTGGCTTTTCATCAGCAACAGTGGAAGTCAGAAGACAATGACATGACATTTTTAACATGATGAATTAAATAAAAAGTCCACATGGAAATATATAATCAGTGAAAATGTCCTTTGAAAATGAGATGGCATTCTTTTGTTGTTTCTGCTTCCTCTTAACTAGGGAATTAGGACTGTGCTTCATGAATAGGGGCAAAAATGAAAGAACAGCCTGAACAAGATCTAATGCCAAGCCTAGATAAGAACAAGGTAAGCCATGGGGTAAGCCAAAAAAAATAAAATGCCACTTGGAAGAACATAGCATCATTCAGGGGTTCCTCAAAGTTTGATCTATTATATCCAGCATCAAATTAAACAAACCAAGGATCCCAAAAAGAAGACTGGGGCAGGGGGGAAGGGACAGAAAAATAA